CACACTCAAGAGGCAAGATTTTGTCTTCTAAAATTAAGATGTCAGATTTTTTTTTTCCTCACGACTATACATTGTAAGTACAAAAAGGGTGGGAAGACCTAGAAAATGAGGATACTCACTCACATCTTTAGCTTGCCAGCTCAGACTGCAGAATTTTTGTTTCAAACAGTGGGCTTGACTCTCCAGTCTGACTTCATTTTTCTCCGCTAGTGGAAATTCTATCCTACAAGGGAAAATTTGCTAACCTTAATAGCTGTCCTTTTTTGTTACTTGATACAAATTGGAAAACTTGTTTTCACCTATCAGACAAGATATACGAAAATCTGCCACTCCTTGTAATTTAAGCAGTCTTTCAGTTAAATGGTATTGTTCACCGGGGTAAGAGTTTTGGGGTTCATCTCTGATTTTAAAGTGATCACAACTGGCAAAGGTGTCATACCTTGACCTTGGTAAATAGTCTCATACACTGGGAAATTTGGGGAGGTGGTGGTGGGAGGTGCTCAGTGGAAATGGGTTCAGTGGTAAAAAGATCTTGGATTAATGTGCAGCACAGGTGACTAGATAAATTGGTGTCCTTGGCAGTGAGGGACCATAGAGGCTTCCTGCCCACTGATATGTATAAGGATCAAGAAAGGTTAATTGCAGCAGAGTTGGAGATGTGGCTGGAATGTGTGCTAATTCTGCCCTCCCCAAACGCTTGACATATTTTAGCTGCCTGTCAGTGTGCATCCAATGATACCATTGCTTGGATTCCAGGCATGCCTTTAAACACCTTTCAGGCTTTTTAAAAAAGCTGGGAACAAATAATCAGCATTATTCTGATATCCCAGCCTAGGATAAATATTGTCTTAACTTACAAAAGCTGCCAATGCACACGCACAGTGGCTCAGACACACCCAGACACACTCCCAATATGCTCTCTTCCTCATAAAACAAATTCCCCACCTTTTATAGAACAAGCCTTGCTGAGGAGCTAGCTAAGCTTCCAAAACACGTATTTTACTTCGATGGAGAGAGGCTCGTGGGAAGATCAGGTAACTTTCAGGGTAATAAGAGTCATATCCTGATACTCTCTTCCTCTCTAGACTTTCTGCCAATACATCCTTAGAACTTAAGCTTGTGCACTGGCTCCTTTCTTCATTTTTATGATAGATCTGAGTTCCAGTCCTGGAAGGATCACCACAGCCCCACCCCTCTCCTGATGCAGATATACCAGTTGCCTGCGCTATTTTCAAGGTGTTATCTTACACTTACGGCTAATAACCCTCAGGGACAGTCCACGCTGCGCATTAACCATAGGCAGTTGTTATTAGGATAAGCACTCTGCTTTGCTGAGTGTGAACATAACCCTCTCTCCCATTGCTTCTGAGAACAGTTGCTGGCTGCTGCTCTCCACTTTGGAAGTGGCTGCAATCCTCTGTGGGTCCCTCCTGTGCAAATCAGCGGGAATTTTCCATCCATTCCATAAGAAATCTCATGGATCACAATGTAAAAAGATCCTTACCAATAGATGGTCCATAAACCTACTGGTACCTAGCAAGCTCTATGACAGCAGATGCTGCATATTATATAGAACGTATGTCTCAATTAAGTCATAAATAAAAAGAAAGCTATATATTTCCTTCAGATCGTGAACATTCAAGTCCAGATTCTTTGCTGACAGGTTGTGGATTTAAAGACTGAAAACATTTTCAGGCTGCAGTTATTTAAGGCAACAGATGGGCCATATCTTCAGGGACATTTTACCTGTTGTTGCTGCTTTTTGCTGCCTTTGTCTTTCCCTGTAGTCCAGTAATAACATCCATCACCTTGCAAGATAAGAAAAATAGATTAATTATAGTCCAAGACATGTACATAAAACATATGGTAAACAGCGGCACAGTCAGCAAAGCAGGAAATAGCAGGAAATAGCACTGGCCAACTACAGTATCAAATAGATAAAATATCAAAATTCTTTCGCCTGCATAGGTCCTTTTCTCTGCTTTTGTTCAGAGCTGGCTGTACATTTCTGTTTGTCCTGTAGTTAGTTACTAAATTCAGAGTTAATTTATTTGGCTCTGAAGCCATTTCAAGCATGATCTTTGAAATCAGTGATATGTTGGCAATACCAACAGGCCTAGGCTCAAGGTCTATAAATTCAGAGCTGTAATGTGCCCACCCAGGTGCTCATGAGAAAACAGACCATCCCCTGAAAAACAGGGGGAAGGAGGTGGGCATACGGGTCATGTGGTATATGATTTTTCTTGTGCTTCCTTTTCTCTTTGTTGTGATTTGCACCCCAAAAGGTACAGAAACGTCAGAACAGACTTGCCTCCAGGGTGCTCCCTCCAGAACAGCTTCCTCTAAGCTGTGCACCCTGGCATTGGAGGTGCTGCAGGATAGCTGAAGCATTATTTAGCAAACAATAAACACAGCAGCTGAAACACGAACATATTGCTAACAGGTCTGACCAATACAATGAGATGGTGAACAAAAAGAAAAGCCAGAAACAATCTTCCATGTTTGAGTACTCGAAGGGCAGAAACACTACCTCCCCAGCTCAAACAAAATTAACTGGCAGATAATAAGGTATTGAGGCTTGTTTCAGAGTTCTTTGTAGAACTATTTGCTCTAGTATCGGGTGAAAAATCTACCAAGTTTGTAACACTGCCTTCAAAATTAGTAGGCCATAAACACTAAAAGATTATCTGCAGGCTTTTAAATATATATGCAATACTTTCTGAACAAAAAAAATTTAAGATCTCAAACACGCTTATTATTCAAATAAAATCCAGTCAAGCCACAGAAAGGGATTTTTTTAAGCCATTGGTGAAAACTGAAGAGCTGGATTGAGCTCCTGCCTCGGTCACAGACAATTTCCGTGATAGCAGTCAAACCATACAGAGCAGATCGTGTTTCAGTTTCCCGTTGATACTATCAAGGCAGCAACACATCCCTTATTTTGTCCATTCAGAAGAGTCCTCGTGATCTGTAAGCAGCTATGCAATAGGAAAATAGAACTCTTCACATGACTAATGCTCTTTATCCCTGGGACAGTGGAAGAGTTTAGCCCTACATCTTTTATAACCATGCATAACCACTCTGTTTTATTCAGATCTCATGTTTCAGGACACTGTTCTGTTAATAAATGGATGCAGTATGCAGAGGGTTGCTTTAAAGTAACTAATTCTGATTAAACTAGTAGCACCAGGATGAAAGTCTCAGCAGACCATTATTACACTGCACACACAGTCAAGGTTCAGATTCATCTATATTGCAATTGGACAAAAAAACAGATTGCCCTAATTATTTTAAATAACTTTGAATTAAATAATAAATCTTAGAATAACAAGACTCAACTTTGTACATGTAGTCTGCCTCTCTGGAAGCTCTACCAGTTTCTTCCTTTGGGATCTACTTCAATCTCCGGTCTTCAAACTTTCACTGGATAGTCGATGCCAGGTCAGCATCCCTAAAGAAATAATCTAATGGTCTATAAAGCCTGAGATAATTAAGGCAGCTGTCTTCTAGATTTTGAAGAGCTTGGCTGACTCAGGGGAGGAGGGGCTTGTCACGACTTCCATGCACTCTAGCAGAAGAATAGACAAGGGAAGGGTTGAAACATGACAGTTGTCACCTGGAAACTAGATTAGGGCTTCTGACTGAGTTTTGAAGGTCTTGAAACAACAGCCTCTCTGGATACTGCAACCACAAAAGCTTTGAAAGTCACAATCCACACGAGTACTCTTGCCAAGCAATGCTCTCAAGGAGTGCTTTGAGGTGTTTCACATCTCCAGTGCATCAGCCAAGAACATCACAGCTACAACTCCCTAGTTTCACTTCCCACCAGTGAGCTCTACTTCAAAATACAGCTAAACAGAGTATCCTGTATCTTGCAGACACACACAAGCATTCCTGGATTTAATTACCAAAGTTTGACTCTCCAGAAACATTCTTTGGATCACAAAGAACCTGCAGCCCATGATGAATACAATTTATCTAAAAGAACACTTTCACCATGTGATAAAATGCTCTTTTAAAAAATAGCAGAAGGTTTGACCAGGAGTCTGAGTTGAAAATAACGAATTGCAGACCCAGGGCCAGTTTCCTGGACTCCAAAGGAATGCCTTGCCCTCTGGCAGCCATTCAAGTCTCTAATAAACAGTAAACATTTAGTCTTCAGCCCCAAAATATACACTCCTTCCAAGCACTGATGGAAAGGATGTGTGAATTCACCCATTCGTTGAGGCCTACCAGAAGAGCAGGCAGGCAGCACCAATGCTGCCTCATCTTTTATTTGGATCGGCTCCTGACACAAACTACTCTCCAGCACATGCACGGCACTCAGCAAGTGGTCACAGCTCTTTTTACTCTGGCATTGTGTGAAAGGATAATTTTATTCTGGGTTAGAAACTTACTAGGACTGGGACAGTCTTCTCTCTCTGGGTTTGAAAAATGCCCAGAACAAAAAGCTCTGACCCATTGCACCTTTTCAAATTGCTATAAATTTTCACTGGCCTTGCAGAATTCAAGCTTTTTGCAAGTGTTGGTACCATAGATCTGCTCCTTCCCATTATCTATCCATTCATCTGTTTTCTCCCTCCCTCCAGCAATCATACTTGAGGTGAATCAGCACCTGAAGAAGCTAGGTGCTGATGCCAAAGGGAAGTTCTCCACTGGAAAAAACTATTCTGTCTCCTTAACATCATGAAGCATATACAACAATGCCTAGGTCATGTTGCAGCCTGAGCACAGGAATGCACCAAAGGGAAACATATCTCTTCTGCAACTAGCAAGGACCATTTCATTTGTGTTCTGCTCTTGGATGAAGAAAAAAGACAAAGCATTTTATTTACTGCATTATCTTTATTTGTATACCATAGGTTTGTTGCACACAAAGCCTTGGATAGGCAAGTTGAGTCTAACACCAAGTTTTGGTCCAGTTGGAGAACATGGCCACCATCACAAAAGCATGCAAAGAAACAAGCCGTTTCTCTGCAGCAGAATTGTCAAGATCCCGCCTAATTGGCTTTTTCACAGATTTTAATGGGCAAAACACCTGGAATTCCTGCACTGACACAGCCATGAACACTCAGTGGTGCTAGAAGAAACAAGAAAATGAAGATATTAGCAGTAACAAGACCCCTGTATCCAGCAAGGAAAAGTCTATAAATACACAAGTTTCAATTCTCCAATTATGGTCCTATTGGAAGCTCCTGTTGGTCTCAGTGGCTGCTACATAAAACTTCTATGGTGTAACTATAAGGGAGGAAATGTTAATATGGCATTAAATCACCTTTGTGCTCCTCCTTCCCCATAACCCACATACAGCAGCTAGCACACTGGCATACAGCAGATGCCTTGTGGGACCATCGTACCATCAGGGCATGAGCTGGGTACAGCTGCTACACAGTGGCTTCCTCTGACACCAGGCAAGCCACTTTGGCCCTTTACTAGATCGGTGCTTTACTAGATTTACCAAAGCATCCCAGAGCCTTACCCTTTCAACCCTGATAGGTATTTTACTCCTAAGACAGGGCAATATGTTCATGCCTCAAAGGTACCACGTAGACTTAGATTTAAAGGATAGAAAGGTGCTTCTGTTGTAACAGAAACATAATGTTCTGATCTCACAACTTACGTTGAGTCTTTACAAGGCCGTAGAGGGGCAGACCTGCACAGAGTCGTTCAATGGCTTTACCATAGATAATCCAGTCTTTGATACGTCCAAACACAGAATGGCCAGATTGAAACTGTACCCACACATTATTTGGAGAGTACAGTGCCTTCATAGTCTAAAAAGAAAGGGTTAGACATCATCAGTAATGTAGCTTTTGTTACATTCTACTGGGATACCCTCTGAGAAAATCCCAAAATCTAAAGTCACCTTCCTTTGCCTCACACAAAGCATTAGCCAAAGAAGCTACATGCTTTTAAAGATAATAAATATTTTCAATCTATTCAGAAACAAAGTTCACTAGATACTTGTTCTGTCAACATAGCAAAATTGAGCTGTAATACTACCATAATAAGTTATGTTAATTGGCAGTAAGTTTTGCTGTAAATACACTCCTGTCAGGCTGCCATAAAATGGGCCAGAACTCAAGGCCATCTCCAGGCAACACTTCCAGTTCCTTCATGAAACCTTTGCCTGAATACAAAAGTAAAAATCTGGTCAAAGTAAACAGATTTCTAAATTCTATTCTGCAAAGTTATTTCAAGTTATGTCAAGCTCAAAATATCAGCATGACAATAAGAAAACCCCATCTGGATTCATATTGCAGTCACCCCAAAATAGTCAAATTACACTACTTCCAAGGGCACGGGATCTTACAGTACTAGTCACAACAACAATCCACTATAAAACCACAGGGTGGGCCATGATTGCCCATTATCTTAAAATAATGTTCTATATGACATTTCATATAGATGATGCCTTGAAGTTCTACATTGTCAGGTGTACTTCATCACTTCTCACACAGTAAAAGACATCCCTAAGAACAGATGCTCTTAAAAGCAGAATGGAGGGCTCCTATCACACCACACAATTCCTATACAGTAGCCTTTCGTGTATACAATACAGGTTTCACTACAAAGTCACCTTTCTCTCAAAAGCCAGGCGTCCAATTTCTTGCAGCTCTGGGATGTAATCCTTATCTATTTTCAAGATAAAGCAGGCACTCCGTGAAAACAGCCTTGTGGCAATATACCCCTGTGATTAAAAAAATTATAGTTAATTACAATTGTTAACACTAATACTAGTCATTTCTCTCTACTCTTTAGGACAATTCAGAACAAACGTAAAGTGGCTACGCAGGAATACAGGAATATTGTGGAATGACTCCGCATTTACACTGTCAGCTTTAGGGAGTGGAAGCAGCCTGCCCACACTAATGTCCATCTGTAAGACCGGAAGAATCTTTTGACAGACTTCTACCGCACTTGCTATACATGAGTGATGGCAGCCCTTTCTCAACTCTGACCTCACTGAGGTCAGTGACATTCTTTTCACCTTGATGAACTGCCACCACAGGTTTCATTACAAGTCTTTTAAACTGCCCCATCGTATGGGTGAAACTAAGAGATGGCCTAAGAGGAGGAAAGGCTACAGGACTCTTCAAAGAAATGGTGTTTCAGGACAACTTATGGTGAGAATACACCAAAATAATTTCTGAGTTTAAAAACTTCCCCAGAGATTAAGTCTAGGCAGATTCTTAGATTTACTTACATATGAGTAGTCAAAAATGGTATCAGAGGAGTACACGCCAGCAGTGACATGGACTTCAGCTAAGTTTTTCTCATTGTGGATAGTCATAGTTGCAGCGACATAGTCATTGCCAGGTTCTTGCAGGACAAAGGTCTTTGGTAAAAAAAAACCATAAAAATCACTGTTCATCCTCTGGCTTGCACCTTTAAAAGGTGCAACATAAACAAATGCTTTCTCTCAAATAAACAAGTACATTGCTTTATGTAAATACTAAATCCCTTAACAACCCTCTAGCAGTCTCAAGAGGCCCTTGAGGTGGAGACTAATTATGCAGGAGTGCATCAGGGTGAGAAAGGAAGGGACAAGCCCTCACTTACCACAGGGTAAGAAAAACCAACGTGGAGCATCCCAGTCATTATGTGTGGCAGCAGGGACTGGCAGGAGACTGCAACAGTCTCCAAATTTTAGCTTGAGCTAAGGGGAGCTATGCCCCCCCAGATTTCTTGTTAACTACGCACCTGCACAGAACTGCCTCTTTGGCTTATGATTGCCACCTTTGGCAAACACTATTTTTCTCTAAGCTTGGCAATAAGCCTCTCCTTAGTTTCTTCTGTGCTTTTCTTCCTATTATATTCATCCCCTGACCAGGGATCCAATAAATTTTAAATGAGTACATGCACTGGAAAGTTTATCAGCCTACTTACGTCCAATGGAGAAGCCTGAGCCCAAGAGACTCCCAGCAAAATGAGAACTGCAGCCTGTAAAAGGAATAAGCATTCTCACTTGACAAACACCAGGCAGTGCCATAAAAAACCCCAGTTCATGAATTGAGGGAAGCAGCTGCAGCATCAGTTTGAAAAGTTACCCATTTAACATGTGTATTAGTTGAAAACAATTACAATTCTTCATTGTGAAATTCTTGCTATTAGGCTCTTTTGCCTGTAACTGAAAAAGCAGAATGGTAACTTAAGCATTACATTTTTTGTATTTTTCAAAAGTCCCTTCTTGATGCCATGTTACTTCTTGATTTGCCTCTACAACTGTAATTATTAAATCATAATGAAATCCCCCTTCTGAATTGTAATCAAGTTTGGCTCTCTTTGCTTAAACGATGCTTCCGCTGACTCCAAGGGGATTAACGTACACCCTAGAAATGCAAGTTTCCCACTGAACAACCCAAAGAAACAATACAAGGATCATATTAGTCCCAGTACTGTATCACTTACTTGAGCATCTTCTTTTCTATCCTTTTGTTTTTAAAAATAAGGAACTTTATAATGTAAAAAATTCAACAAAAGCGGATATACTCACAAATCCGTTCATTCTTCTTTCAGAGAGAACAAGAGGCTGCAGAAAGTAAGAATGCAAGAAAATCCCAGGCACCTTCAACTTTTATATCTTGCTGAAGGTGTGGGAAACACTTGACAAACTTTTCTTCATGACTCAAACAAGTCCATATCTATATGCCACACTGCGTTACGCCTCCTATCTGAATTTTGGGTTGGCACAGATAACCTGCCCCCGATATGTTAGAAGCACTCTGTGAGTCAGCTTTTGTAAAATGAATCACTCTTCAAATTGATATTATTTACTGGTGTAAACTTTAGAGGAGTTCCCACTCTTGCTGGCTCCATTTTTTTAAAATATTTAACAGGATATCGTCCAGAATTAAATGGCATCAGGAATAACTCTGCTATGCATTCATTCAAACTGCATTCTGTCCTCTGCATCATAATAGTCTACAGACAAATCCTGGAAAGAAATACCTATGCCATGGTGGCTTACATGCCAACCCCTGAACAGACCAGTTCTTCAGCCATTTCTTCCATCAAATGAACTCTTAACAAGTGCTGCTCATTTTTGATCAGTTACCATGATGTATACAACATATGCATTGAAATTAGTGACATAATTAGGAATAACAACTGTGCTTCACAAGGTAATCTGGGTAACTTCTAGCCTCCTCGGTGTACAAAGGAGCAACGTGAAACTTCAGAGGATGCGTGGTTTACATGAGGTCACAAAACGAAAGAAACAAAAGGAGCAGGATGGGGATTCCTCCTGTAAAGCTACTGCTGTTTTCTGTATTTTATGAAAATGTCAATGACTACAAGATACCGTACTCTCCTTTTTCTATGACCTTGCCTGGACTCCTCCTCATCTGTGACTCCACATCAGCCAGTGCCAGAACCTTGACAAATCGCACTACTTTCTGCTAGGAAGCCGTAATTGAGGCCTGTTGCCTTCTAATAAAACAAGAACTCAACCTAGTAGCCAACACATTTCTGTAATCTCAGTCATCAGAAAAAAGGTGAAAGATTGTGTGAAAACCTGTCTCAGCAAACAGGCCTCAATGAAAGAAGAAATTGCACGCATCTGCTTTCCACCACTTAACCCCACGCAGGAAGTGTTATCTCAAGTGTAACAAAGCTGCTAAGCAATATATCAGAATACATACAAACAGATATCAAATTGTGACAAGCACAGTTAGATTAGACTAGTCAGATTAGATTGATGTTACCCTCCTCTTGAAAACTGGCTCTGTCCCTTCTTCTCAAAAGATTCTTTGTTTCTAAGATTACAGACATCAGAAATACTCAGAGTAGATTTCAGCAGTCAAATAAGCCTTTCATAGCAGGAATCAAACAGGGTTCAGGCAACACAAGCTACACCAAAAAGATTCAGTACATTTTAGATGCTCTTAAAGTAAAGCTTAACTTTACATTAGTCATTATGTCGTCATATACTCATTTCTTTTGCAGAACACCCAAGAAGCATGAGCTTCTGCTTTCTTAAGCATAGATATGCTTAGGCACAGGTAAGAGCAGAGCAACACATGAAACTGGCAGTTACATAGTGATAGAGAATTACAATAGCCATGATCACGATTTTCACCTTACACTGGACTGACTGAATTTTGCTGATCCCATCAGACAAGGCCAAAGACTAATTTCTAAAAAGCATTTGACTAACATTACTACAAGAGAGAACATACTCCTAGTTGTCTCAGGCAAAGCCTAGATATACTTCTAATAGGAAAGCCTTAAGTAACTGGAGTAAAGAGCTGCATAAGAAGGGCTAAACCCACTCTAATTTCACTTTCACCAGCCCTCAGGCAGCACGAGGTTTAGCTTAGGAAGCCGTGACCCAGAACCCCTTGGCAAATACAAAATTCCACAATGATGCCCACATTCTCAAAGTAGTCTTCTTGCTTTCAATACTTTTGATCTAAGTGAAGACTCAATTTTTTCCCCAAATAATATAATTTTCTCCCTCAACTGTTACACTTGCAGTCAGATGGGTCATATCAGGGAAGGCAGCAGAAAATGGAGTTTGAGTAACATCCAGAACAAGTAATAATGTTGTTACAACACAGCAACATTTATTGTCGTAGGAAACTTAATTTCTTTGTTTCTTTCATAAGGCCAAGTATTTTCAAATATTTTGAAAAAAAATTCAAATACTTTGAGGAAAATTGACAGAAGAATTTGACCCATTATTTGGCACTGTCATCCACTAAAAATCTTTTAAACAAAAAACCGTGAACATCAAATGAAAAGAATAATTGTGCAATTTCAGTTCAAGTCTGGTTACCAAACAGGAATTTTAACATATAAGGGAGATGGATTCAATGAAGTTAAGGTGAGATTATACTATCATCACAAACTCTCCTGATGACTCACAGGTTTCTTTCCCCCCCAGGTACCTTTCATAAATATTTACTTTATCAGGGAGTGAGCAGGTAGTGGGAGAAGAGTAAAGAATGAAGCAACACCTCAAAAAATCAACAAAATTCTCTATGCGTCCATTTGCTTTTGGCTGGGTACACCACACAATAGATAAAGATGGGGTGACAAAGTCCAGGAAAATCTGTGTGGCACAAGGATATGTCTGGCAGAATGAATCACATTCAGTAGTTAAAAAATAAAATCAAGCTTCAAGAATGAATCCAGAAATAATTTCAGCAGGCTTATTCTTGCTAGACAGTAAGGCATAAGTACACGTGGAAATGTAAGCGTGCGCACAAAATTAAATGTTAATTTGAGAATAGGGTTAAAACTGGAATGGCTCTTAGCCTTGGGAGTTCGCTGCACAGTGCTACAAGAATTCAGTACAGAAACAGAATGCCTTGAGCAGAGCTTTAAAAATGAGACAGACAAGCTTGCACTGGAAAAAGAACAGGGTCTTCTACAGTAAAAACACTCCTCCCTGCCCTTTTTCCTGGCTTCTAATACTGCAATTAGTTTCGTAAGCAATTCTTAATGCCAAATGCTCTAGCTGTGTGTGTGTGCCATACAAACTACTCAAGTAATCAGAAGTTGATGGGAGAATTGGAGAGCCAGGCTTCCAAGTGTGACACATTACTGTAATGGCCAAATTGGCGATGGTTATTGGAAGAAATGGACAAAGCTGCTTTCCAACTCATTGCTAACGACACTGCAGGGATTAGCATTATACAGTTCAGTTTCTCAATGCCTTTGAGAACTAGACGATTAATTAAATTTCCAGAGACTATGAGAGGATTTCGTGACATACAAAATAAGACTTTTATGTGTATTTTGGATCTTGGAGGCTAAGGACATACCTATCTCCATTTGGCATCTACAAATCAGTCTGATTAGAAGAACTATAAATCTTTTCCCTTAGTAATTTATTATTTTCATTCACCGTATTTTATACCTCGTGCAAATTGCAAAGTGGGTGCAAAATAGATGAAAAACAGAGCTCTCCACTCAGTGCTGGCAGGCTGCTACACCTCCCCTGCACTCACGTAGTCCGAGCAAGGCACCAGTTCGTAGCAGAATGTGGCCCTGAGTGGTGTAAATGAGAATTGGGCCTCACCTTCTCAACTAAAGTAAGATTCCCTGGCTTCTCCAATAACAGCTGCAATAATGATCCTCAGCAATTGAGAACAGTGGAGAGCGTAGTTCAGAGACATTAGTTTATAATGACACTGAGGCCCCATCATGCCATTCTGGCAACAAAAAGAAAATTTAAGTGCACAAACCTGTACTGAATTACAGTGAAGTGCACAATTAATATACAGAGGGACTGACAGAGCTGCTATTAAATAAGAAGCACTTTTGCAGTATGTAAGTGAACACCTCTGAAAGGCACAGATAAGAAACAAATCCAAATTATCTGAGGCTATATATATATATATATCTTAGTTTATTAAATAGCAATGGACACTATTCCTGTGCAAAGAAGCTCAGGCATTTGTACAGGCCAATTAAAAAAACTAAACATTTTGCAAAGTTTCTGCAACAAATAAGGCACATAAGCTCTTACGCCATGGCTCTGTATATAATTATCAAATTCAGAGAAATATTAAAATCTACTTTCTAAATAAGAGCTGACAAAATGCCCATTGCTACTGCTCCTCCCTTACTCATTTTTCGTTATCTCCAGTTTATGGTCCCTTTCTAGAGTTAGCCCTTAGTCCATGATCGGGCGCAACTTTCATGAAAAAGCTCTGTAAAGATACAGAGGCCATGCCTGCGGACTGGAAAGCAGATCCTAACTGAACAAGCTCATAAAGGAAGGTTAACAAGAGAACTCAGTAATTTCTGTGGTTTAGAACCAACCTCATGATTTCCGGGGACTGACAACATTTTTAACACAGCAAGATTACCATCTCTGCTGATGGTATCAGCTATGGGTAAAACATCAGGCCGAGTCCTTTGCTACATAGGCGCAAAGCATTACTACAAATTTTATTAGGCATCTATTCTCTGGTTCTGATTTTTTTAAATTTTATTTTATTTAGAAGTTACTATAAAATACACTGAACTTACTGTGACAAGTTTTCTTTCATCTTCCTGTATGTAATGAATTCAGTCAGGCTGGTATCAAAGCCTCCTCTTATCAGAGCACTTCCCCAGGAAACCCATCACGATTCTGTGAGCACAGGACACATGCCAATAAGGTAAACCCATTTTAAGATTTAACTTTGGGATATTACTGTATAAAGAGTACACATCAATTACCAGCAGATCTTGCCTCACCCACCATCAGAATGAAGTTTACTGTAAGCTTATGGATCACTGTCTCATAAAACTGTTAAGGCTGGACGGTTTTAAAGTTATTTTGAGTCTTTCTTGGCACCTAGCAAGCAGTTACTGATTTATGTAGGGATTACAGAGTAAAAATGCCAAAAGGGTCAGGACTGCATGGGTGAAAGTTTACTTTTGGCAGTGACTTCACTCCATATACCTACTCAAACGTGAAAGAGAGAAGTGCTCTGTTAGAAGGGTGAAATGCATATGTAAAATGTTGAAAGGGCAATATTCTCTCATTCACAACTCAGATGCAAGTCAACAGTCCCAGCAAGTTAT